ATGGGGGTGATGGGGTAATGGGGGTGATGGGGGTCATGGGGGTAATGGGGTGATGGGGGAATGGGGTAATGGGGGTAATGAGGGTAATGGGGTGATGGGGGTAATGGGGGTGATGGGGGCAATGGGGGTAATGGGGGTAATGGGGGTGATGGGGTAATGGGGGTAATGGGGGAATGGGGGTGATGGGGGTAATGGGGATGATGGGGGTAATGGGGCAATGGGGGTGATGGGGATGGGGGAATGGGGGTAATGGGGATGATGGGAGTGATGGGGCAATGGGGGTAATGGGGTGATGGGGATAATGGGGTAATGGGTATTATGGGGGCAATGGGGGTAATGGGGGTAATGGGGGCACTGGGATGGGCAATGGGGACGATGGACTGTGCGCTGGGGGCACTGGGACAGGCACTGGGCTCATCTGACAGCACCAGGGGATGCTGAGGCTGCACTGGGGGGCACTGGGGGTGCCCTGGGCTGACCCCTGCCTGTGTTTCCCTCCCCCCCCCCATCCCCTACAGCGGAGCTGGAGAAGCAGAAGGGGGTGTCCGGGGCCCGGGGGGGGGGGCCCCCCCGCGAGGCGCTGAATGGGCTGAGCCGGAGCAGCCTGGAGGAGGCCTTCGGGGGGGGAGAGGGGCTCAAGCGCAGCGCCCTCAGCAGCTCCCTGCGGGACCTCTCCGATGGCGGTGAGAGGGGGGGCCATGGGGTCCCTATGGGGGGTAAATGGGTGCTTGGGGGGGGCATTGAGGTCCCTGGGGGGATCCCCCCCTTATTTCGTGTGTGTGTCCCCCCCCAGGGAAACGGGGCCGGCGGAACAGCGTGGGGTCCTTGGACAGCACCATCGAGGTGAGAGGGGCCCGCAGGCCACGCCCCCTTGAGGAGGCCACGCCCCCGCCACCACACCCGCAGGAGCGTCTCCCATTCAAGCGCATTGCTCCTGGGGGAAAGGGGCGGAGCTCGGGCATAGGGGGCGTGGCTTATCCGGCGGGGTGTGTGTCCCCCTAGCGGGCGGGGCTTGCGTGAGGAGAGGGCGGGGTTTAATCGGGGAGGGGGCGGATCTCCCTCCAGAGGGCCAAGCCTCGCCCACCAATAGGTGGCCGGCCCGGCAGGTGGGGGCGTGGCCTAGCGCGGCCTGACTCCGCCCCTCTCCGCAGGGCTCCATCATCAGCAGCCCCCGTCCACAGCCGCGGGGTCCGCCGGGGGGGCCCGGGGCCGCCCCCGAGGGGTACAAGCCCCCCCCCCGGCCCGTCTCCAACTCCTCCTCATTCCTGGGGTCCCTCTTCGGGAGCCGGCGAGGGAAAGGCCCCCCCGGGCCCCCCCCCGGCGTTGGGGGCCCCGCTTCAGCCTCAGCCTCCTCTTCCTCGGCTTCTTCCTCCCATCACCATCACCCCCCCCCGGCCCCCCCATGGCCGCCGAGGGCCCCTCCAAGCTGCAGGCGCTGCACGCTCAATACTGCCACGGGGCCGGCGGGGGGGGGGCGGCGGCGGCGGCTGCAGGGGGGGGTCCCGGCCCCCCTCCGCCCCCCCCGTACCCGCAGCAGCCCCCCCCCCCGCCCGCCCCGCGCCCCCCCCGCCGCTCCCGGCCATCGCCGCCGGCGCCCCCCCCCGCTTCCACGGGGGTCCCACCCCCCCTTTGTCGGCCCCCCCGCAGCAGCACGGCCCCCCCGGGGGGGGGTTCCCCCCCCCGCACCCCCATTACACCCTGCACCGACCCAAAAGAGGGGGCGCCCCCCCCGGGCCCCCCCGCCAGCCGCTGTCCCCGTTACCCCTGTACAGCCCCGCTGCCCCCCCCCACCACGGGCTGTCCCACGCGTACCCCCCCGGGCCCCCCGCACCACCACCCCCCCCCGCCCCCCACCGCCGCCGCCGCCGCCAAGCACTTTGTGTTCGGGGCGGCGGTGGGGGGGGCCCCCCCGGGGGGGCCCTTCGGGGGGGGGGCGGCGGCGCTGGGGGGGCGGCCCCCCCACCCCATCATCACCATCATCATCATCACCATCACCATCCCGCACCCCACTCCCCTATCCCCCCCCATCCCTCTTACCCCCCTTTGCCCCCCCCTTCACCCCACACCCCCCTCAGCCCCCATTCCCCTGCCGGCCCCACATCGCCCCTGGCCCAAGCTGGTCAGGGCCCCCCCAAACCCAAGGGGGGGAACCGCATCAGCACCGTGGTCTGATCCCATTGATCCCATTGATCCCATTGATCCCATCGATCCCATCAATCCCATCGATCCCATTGATCCCATTCCCCCCCCCGGGCTGAGGACGGACACAGCTCATGGCAGCGATGGACGGCGCCGGCACGTTGGATGCCCCCCCCCCTCCCCTTCACCCTTAACCCCCCCTCCCCAAAACCCTTGCACGTGGCTCGTGATTGGCTGCTCGCGCCTTGGGGTTCCCCCCCCCTTTCATCATCTTGGAGCCAGCGTTGAGCGTCCCCCCCAGCTCAGGCTGAATGTCACATGGCACTTTAACCTCCCTTGTCCCCCCCCCCTCCCCAATGTCCCCTGTCCCCCCCCCCGGATGCTTGGGTCGTCCCGTCCCCCCCTTGATGTCCATAGAGGGGACCCCGATGTCCGGACCCCACCACCCGGACCCCGAGGGGGGGGGACCCGCATGCGCCCGCGCCGGGCCCTGTATATAAGAGACTGTATATTTGATGCTTCATAAACGGACCGGCCGGCCCCTGGCGTGTGCCCCTTCTTCGAGGGGGGGGATGACAATGGTGGTGACACCCCCTATAGAGTCTATAGGGGGTAGGGTATAGGATGGTGGGGGTATAGGGGGGAGCCTGTGTGTATAGGGAGTCTGGGGGTATAGGGAGATTGATGGGCGCCCTGGGGGTATATGGGTGTGGTGGCTATAGGGACCTTGAAAGGGGTCATAGGGCTACAAGACCCGTTGGGATATAGGGTCAAAAAGCCATATGAAGAAATATAGGGGTGTGGGGGCTATAGGGGCCACAACCATATAGGGATCCTGGGGCTATAGGCTGTAGGGGTCTGGAGGATGTAGCAGCTATAATAGGGACTCTGTGACCGTAGGGACCTGGAGCTATAGGGATCATAGGAACTCTATAGGACCTGGGAGCTCTAGAGGCCATAATAGCGACCCTGTGGCTATAAGGCCTGGGGGGCTATAGGGGTCTGGGGGCTATAGGGCCTTGGGGACTATAGAGGCTATAACAAAACCCTGGGGCTATAGGGTTCTATAGGGTTCTATAGGGCTCTATAGGGGCTGTAGGTGCCGCTGGGCAGGGCAGGAGCGGCTGCGAAGGGGCGGAGCTTCCATCGACTCCGCCCCCTTCGCGGGCGTGTTCTCCTCTGGCTCCGCCCCTCCACCCCTCGGGCGGCGCATGCGCGCTGCGCCCCTTTAAACGTGCACAAGAAGCTCCGGCTCATGCGCTGACCCAGCCGCGGAGGCGAGCTGGAGGCGGAGATCACTCCGCCGCGAAAGGAGGCGGAGCCTACGGACTATTTCACAGCACTCTCCTCCCGCCTCCCTCCGCCCCAGCTACGCTCTCGGGGGGGTTCCCGTGGCCGCGTGTCCCCCTCCTTTTACCGTCCCCTCTTAACCCATTACGGGGGTTCCGCCTCTCTCCGCACCCCCTTTTTCCCCACGGCGGAAGAACACATCTTCGTGAGGCGATTGGTCTCACCACACTGTGCGGCGTGCACCCCCCTGCGCCTGCGCAGTGTGTGCGTGCGCCGGGCGGCGGAGAGGGGGGGGGGGGGGGTTGAGAGGAGGAGGAGGGGAGCCAAGATGGCGGCGGCGGCCGGGCCGGGGGGACCGGGCAGGCCTCAGGCCTGAGGCGGCCGCATCGCGGGGCAGGGGCCGGGGCGGCGGCAGCGGCGGGGCCGGGGGCGGCGCAGGTCGGAGGAAAGCACCGGGGGTGGGGTGGGGGTGTTGGTTTAGGCTGTGTTTGTGACCCCCCCTTTTCCCTGCGGCTTAAGGGAGAAGGGGGGGCGGCCCGCGGCCTGGTGAGGGGGCGGCCGGGGGCCTCCATGGCCCCCTGAGGGAACCCGCCCGGCCTCCATAAAGGGACGATGGAAGACGAGTGGGGGCCCGGCCCGGGGGGGTCCCCGCCTTGGGGTACCCCTTCCCCGCGACCGGACGGGGAGGAAGAAACCAAACGAGGCCGCGGTGGGGATTGGGGGGGTTCGGAAAGCAGCGGAGACGCCCCGAAAGCGGCCGGGGAGGAGAAGGCAGCGGCCACCCCTCGGCCTCCTCCGGTTAAAAGCGGGGGGAAATGCGGAGGAGCCGGGAGAGGGCCCGGGGGGCGCTGCCCGGCTGAGGAGCGGAGCCCCCGGAAGGCCCCGGAGGAACGCGGGGCCCGCAGCGGGGATCGGCCGGGACCGGAGGACAAGGCCCGGAGGCCCTTTAGTAGTAGTGGGGGGGGTGGGGGTGGCCCCCGAAGCGGAGGGGACCCCCCCAGGGGGGAATGGGGCTCTTCGTGGCTCTCGGCTGAGCCGGACCCCCCCGAGGACTTCCTGCCCCCCCCCGAGTGCCCGGTGTTCGAGCCCAGCTGGGCCGAGTTCAGCGATCCCTTGGGTTACATCGCCAAGATCCGCCCCATCGCCGAGAAGAGCGGCATCTGCAAGATCCGACCCCCGGCCGTGAGTATGGGGGGGCCCCCACACCCCCCCCCTTCACTTATGGGTCTTCCCCTGCCCCATTGTGGTGCCCCCCAAGTGGTTAATTCCACACCACCCCCCCCATAGGGGTTTAACTTCCTATTGAGGAGCAGCAATTGCCCCCATGGGGGGGGGATTCCCTCATTAATTGCCCCCCCCCTTGTCACTTATGGGTCTGTCCCTGCCCCATTGCAGTGCCCCACAACGGGGTTAATTCCACAGACACAACCCCATAGGGGTTTAACTTCCTATTGAGGAGCAATTGCCCCCATGGGGGGGGGATTCCCTCATTAATTGCCCCCCACCCCGTCACTTATGGGTCTGCTCTGTAAACCCCCCCTCACTTATGGGTCTGCCCCTGCCCCATTGCAGTGCCCCACAAGTGGTTAATTCCACACCCCCCCCAGAGGGGTTTAACTTCCTATTGAGGAGTAATTGCCCCCATGGGGGGGGATTCCCTCATTAATTGCCCCCCCCCCGTCACTTATGGGTCTGCCCCATTGCAGTGCCCCCCAAGGGGGTTAATTCCACACCCCACCCCCCCCCATAGTGATTTAATTTCCTATTGAGGAGCAATTGCCCCCATGAGGGGGGATTCCCTCATTAACTGCCCCCCCCATGCCCCATTGAAGGGGGAATTGCCCCCCATGGGGTATTTCCTCATTAATTACCCCCCTAGGGGGGGTGTTTTCTCACTTTGAAGGGGTAATTACCCCCTATGGGTTAGGCCTCTTATGGAGGGGGGGAAATGCCCCCCCCCCGGAGGGGGTTTTCCCTTTGGGGGGTTAATTCCCCCCCTTTGAGGGGGGTATTTTCCTATTAATTGCCCCCCATGAGTGGGGGAACTTAGTATTAAGGGGGGTAATTGCCCCCCCCCCGTAAGGAATAATTGCCCCCCTCCCCCTAAATGCCCCCCCCTTGTGTGTATCTATCCAATAGGGGTGTCAATGCCCCGGGGGGGGTAAATAGTCCCTTGAGGGGGGTAAATAATCCTCTAAGGGGGGGTAAATGCCTGCTGTATGGGGCCTATATCTATTTGCCTGGGGGTCAATACCCAATGAACACCTATGGGGTGGGGGGGGTAAATACATCCTTTATGTGCCCCCCCCATGCAGAACTGGTGCCTATGGTCGGTGGGGGGGGTGCATTGGGGTTGGATTTTGGGGGTGCTTCACAGTCCAGACTTGGGGGGGGCACCCTGTTCCCCCCCCATACACCCCCATTGTGCTGGGTATGGAGGGGGGTTCATCCTAAGGGCTATGGGGGGGGGGGGGGGGGGGGTTAAAGGGGGTTATGGGGGGGGTGTTCGCGTGTCTCGTGTGTGCCCCCCCCATCGGCCTCACAACAACAACAGTGACACGGCCAATATGGCTGCCACCGCCGAGCCTTTGTCTGGCGAGCGGCGGGGGGGGGGGGGGTGCTCGGCCCCAACCAGCGCCCCATAGGCAAAGAGGGGGGGCCCTTATAATGGGGGGGGGGTCGCAAGGCTGAGCCCCCCCCCCCCAAACCCCCACAATGGCTCCCTCTTCCCTTGTTTCCTGCTTGGGGGGGGGGGGGGTTGTGGTGTGTTCCCATTGAGGGGGGGTCCCTTTGTCCCCTTGTGCCTTGTTTTGGGGGGGGGGGACGGGATGCATGCATGGGTCAATGTGATGCCCCCCCCTTTATCTTAATGGAGGCTTCCAGGGAGGCCCAAGACTATAAGGGGGTGATGCTATAGGGCTACCCCCTCATTTGGGGTGCATGGGTATGAATGGGGGGGGTGCATCACTGCTGATACCCCCCCCCATCTTTCTATATCCATGCCCAGGACTGGCAGCCCCCCTTTGCCGTGGAAGTCGACAACTTCAGGTTCACCCCCCGCATCCAGCGCCTCAATGAACTGGAGGTAAACTTAGGGCAGGGGGGGGTCCCCCTTTATCTCTCCATCCCCAGCTGATTTTGGGGTGCTCAGAGTGTGCCCCCCCCTCCACCCCAATAGGCCCAGACCCGGGTGAAGCTCAACTACTTGGACCAGATCGCCAAGTTCTGGGAGATCCAAGGCTCTTCCCTTAAGATTCCCAATGTGGAGCGGCGCATCCTGGACCTCTACAGCCTCAGCAAGGTTTGGGGGGGTCTAAAGGAAGGGGGGGGGGGTTAAAGGTGAGTTTATGGGGGTGCTTCATGTGTGTCCCCCCCTCTTTGCTGTAGGTGGTGATGGAGGAAGGGGGGTACGAGGCCATCTGCAAGGACCGGCGTTGGGCCCGCGTTGCTCAGCGCCTCTCCTACCCCTCGGGGAAGAACATTGGGTCCCTGCTGCGGGCCCACTACGAGCGCATCATTTACCCCTATGAGATGTACCAGTCTGGAGCCAACCTGGTGGTGAGCACCCCTAAAACCGACCGGGTTCTGATGCTTGGGGTGGGCCCCGCGGGGCAGGAACGGCCTGGGGGGGGAACCTATGGATACCCTGTGCATACCCAGAGACACCCTATAGAGACCCTGTAGGGACCGTAGGGATACCCTATGGATACCCTATGGATACCTAGAGACCTCCTATGGGTACCTCCTATGGATACCCTATGGATACCTTATGGATACCCTATGCATACCCTATGCATACCCAGAGACACCCTATAGAGACCCTGTAGGAACCGTAGGAATAGCTTAGAGACACCCTATAGAGACCATAGGGTACCCTATGGATGCCATATGGATACCCTATGGATACCTAGAGGCCCCCTATGGGTACCCTATGGATACCCTATGGATACCTAGAGACCCCCTATGGGTACCCCGTATGTATACCCTATGCATACCCTATGCATACCCAGAGACACCCTGTAGAGACCGTAGGGATACCCTGTGGGTACCCTGTGGATACCCTGTTGATACCCTATGCATACCCTATGCATACCCAGAGACACCCTATAGAGATCCTGTAGAGATCGTAGGGATACCCTATGGATACCCTATGGATACCCTATGGATACCCTGTAGAGACCGTAGGGATACCCTGTAGAGACCGTAGGGATACCCTGTGGGTACCCTAGGGGTACCTAGAGACACCCTATAGAGACCCTGTAGAGACCATAGGGATACCCTAGAGATACCCTATGGATACCTATAGAGACCCTGTAGAGACCATAGGGATACCCTATGGATACCTATAGAGACCCTGTAGAGACCGTAGGGCTCCCCTATGGCTCCCCCCTGAAGCTCTGTTCCCCCCAGCAGTGCAACACGAGGCCCTTTGAGAGCGAGGAGAAGGACCGGGAGTACAAACCCCACAGCATCCCCCTGCGCCAGTCGGTCCAGCCCTCCAAGTTCAACAGCTACGGCCGGCGGGCCAAGCGGCTGCAGCAGGAGGTGAGCACCCCAAAACCAACCCCCCCCCATCAATCCAATGGGATCCCCCTCCCCACAATGATCCCATAATCCCATAGCCGGAGCCCACGGAAGAGGACATCGAGAAGAACCCGGAGCTGAAGAAGCTGCAGATCTATGGGGCCGGCCCCAAGATGTTGGGTTTGGGGCTGGTGGCCAAAGACAAGACCCTGCGGAAGAAAGGTGCCTCCTTGGGGGGGGTTATGGGGTGGTTGTGACCCCCCCCCCCCCTTTCCAGTCCCTTTGTGCCCCTCGATTCCTTTTGTGACCCCCCCCTCCCCAGTGCTTTTGTGCCCCCCAATCTTTTTGTGCTTCAGGCCTATTGTGATCCCCCCAATCCTATTGTGACCCCCCTCATTGTAACCCCCCAATTCTATTGTAACCCCCCTAATCCTGTTGTGACCCCCCCCAGTCCTATTGTGACCCCCCCCTTATGACCCCCACCATTGTGACCTTTCCCTAATTATAATTTCCCCAGTCCAACTGGGATCCCCCAATCTAAATGTGACCCCCCCATTATGACCCCCAGGTCCTACAGTTACCCCCCAATCCTGTTGTGACCCCCCCATCCTGTTGTGACCCCCCCCTAATTGTAACCCCCCAGCCCTATTGAGACCCCCCCATTGTGACCCCCCCATCTTATTGTGTCTCTCCCCTAATTGTAAACCCCCAATCCTGTTGTGCCCCTCCATTGTGACCCCCCAATCCTATCATGACCCCCCCATTGTGACCCCCCCATTCTATTGTGACCTTCTCCTAATTGTGACCCCCCCATTGTGACCCCCCCCAATCCTATTGTGACCCCCCATCCCATTGTGACTCTCCCCAATTGTAACCCCCCCAATCCTATTATGACCCTCCCAATCCTATCGTAACCCCCACTGTGACCCCCCCATCCTATTGTGCCCCTCCCCTAATTGTAACCCCCCAATCCTATTGTGACCCCCCAATTGTCCCCCATTCCTCTTGAACCCCCTCCCTTGTGACCCCCCCATTCTTCCTGCCACCCCCCCATTTACATCCCTCCCCTACCTGTACCCCCCCCAATCCCTTCACCCCCCCCAACTTGTATTCACCCCCCCCAGACAAGGACGGCCCCGAGTGCCCCCCCACAGTGGTGGTCAAGGAGGAGCCGGTGCCCCCCGACCCCAAGGCCGAAGCGGGGTCCCCCCCCCCTAGGTCCTACCTGGAGGGGAAGGAGGAGCTGCGGCACAGCCCCGAGCCCTGCACCAAGATGACGATGCGCCTGCGCCGCAGCCATAGCAACAGCCAGTTTGTGAGTACCCCCCCCTTAATCTATGGGGCTGAGACCCCCATTCTATGGGGCAGAACCCCCTTATTTACATCCCCATCATCCCCCCCTATAGGTGGACTCCTATATCTGCCGGATCTGCTCCCGGGGGGATGAGGATGACAAGCTGCTCCTATGCGATGGCTGCGATGACAACTACCACATCTTCTGCCTCCTGCCCCCCCTGCCCGAGATCCCCAAGGGGATCTGGCGCTGCCCCAAATGCGTCATGGCGGTGAGGATGTGGGGGGGACACACACACAAGGACACCCCCAAAAGCCAGCACCTTTGGGTTAGGTCCTCGCTGTGGTTGTTGGAGTTGGGGGGGAGACTGCATCTTGGGGTGCGTTGTGGATGGGTGGGGTGAAGGATCCTTAATGGATGGGTCTGGGGTGGCTGAGCCCCCCCAATATGTGGGGCTGGGTGTGCGTAGCTTGGTGTCTTAGCATGCTTGTGGGGCTGGGGAGACCCCCATGTCAGCCCCAATATGTGGGGCTGGGTGTGCGTAGCTTGGTGTCTTAGCATGCTTGTGGGGCTGGGGAGACCCCCATGTCAGCCCCAATATGTGGGGCTGGGTGTGCGTAGCTTGGTGTCTTAGCATGCTTGTGGGGCTGGGGAGACCCCCATGTCAGCCCCAATATGTGGGGCTGGGTGTGCGTAGCTTGGTGTCTTAGCATGCTTGTGGGGCTGGGGAGACCCCCATGTCAGCCCCAATATGTGGGGCTGGGTGTGCGTAGCTTGGTGTCTTAGCATGCTTGTGGGGCTGAGGAGACCCCCATGTCAGCCCCAATATGTGGGGCTGGGTGTGCGTAGCTTGGTGTCTTAGCATGCTTGTGGGGCTGGGGAGACCCCCATGTCAGCCCCAATATGTGGGGCTGGGTGTGCGTAGCTTGGTGTCTTAGCACGCTTGTGGGGCTGGGGAGGCCCCCATGTCAGCCCCAATATGTGGGGCTGGGTGTGCACAGCTTGGTGTCTTAGCACGCTTGTGGGGCTGGGGAGACCCCCATGTCAGCCCCAATATGTGGGGCTGGGCGTGCGTAGCTTGGTGTCTTAGCACGCTTGTGGGGCTGGGGAGGCCCCCATGTCAGCCCCGTGCATCATGTGCCGTTGTAGGTGTGTGTCTGGGGATCCTTATCCTATCTATGGGGCTGGGGACCCCTATCTGCAGGGTTAAAGACTCCCATGTCCCATCTGTGGGGTTGGTGACCCCCATCTGCGGGCTTAAAGACCCCCATGTCACATCTGTGGGGCTGGGGACCCTCATCTATGGCATTCAAAACCCCCCTATCTATCCCTTCTACGAGGCTGAGGGCTCCCATCTGTGGGGCTGGGGACCTCCATCTATGGGGCTAGGGACCCCCCTGTCACATCTATGGGGTTAGTGACCCCCATCTCAACTCCCTGCATCGTGTCCTATCGCATCTATGGGGCTGTGGCTCCCCATCTATGGCATTCAGAAGCCCCGTATCCCATCTATGGGGCTGAGGACCCCCATCTATGGGGCTGGGGACCTCCATCTATGGGGCTGGGGACCCCGCTGTCACATCTATGGGGTTAGTGACCCCCATCTCAACTCCCTGCATCGTGTCCTATCGTATCTATGGGGCTGTGGCTCCCCATCTATGGCATTCAGAAGCCCCGTATCCCATCTATGGGGCTGAGGACCCCCATCTATGGGGCTGGGGACACCCCTGTCACATCTATGGGGTTAGTGACCCCCATCTCAACTCCCTGCATCATGTCCTATCGCATCTATGGGGCTGTGGCTCCCCATCTATGGCATTCAAAACTCCCGTATCCCTTCTATGGGTCTGATGACCCCCATCTATGGGGCTGAGCCCCCCTTTCCCCCCCTATTCCAGGAGTGCAAACGACCCCCGGAGGCCTTCGGCTTCGAGCAGGCCACCCGGGAATACACCCTGCAGAGCTTCGGGGAGATGGCCGATTCCTTCAAAGCCGATTACTTCAACATGCCCGTCCACGTACGTCCCCCCAAAACCCCCCCATTGTGCCCCATAGAACCCCCCATTTCCACCCCATAACCCCCCCCCATGGCTTCAGATGGTCCCCACGGAGCTGGTGGAGAAGGAATTCTGGCGCCTGGTGAACAGCATCGAGGAGGATGTGACGGTGGAATACGGCGCCGACATCCACTCCAAAGAGTTCGGCAGCGGGTTCCCCATCAGCGACGGCAAACGGAAGCTCTCCCCCGAGGAGGAGGTGATGGAACGGCCCGCATCCCAACCGGCCAATAGGGCTTCAGCGATGCGGCCGGGAGGTACCATGATCGCTGAGGATGGGGGGGTTTTTGGTTTCCCCTATAGGAATACGCTGGGAGCGGATGGAACCTGAACGTGATGCCGGTGCTGAAGCAGTCGGTGCTGTGCCACATCAACGCCGATATCTCCGGGATGAAGGTGCCCTGGCTCTATGTGGGTATGGTTTTCTCGGCCTTCTGCTGGCACATTGAGGACCACTGGAGCTACTCCATCAACTACCTCCATTGGTATGGGGTGGGGTGGGGATGAGCTCAGTGCCGTAAACTGGGGGTTTGGGGGGGGGAAAGAGAGGTTTTGGGGGGAGAAGAGAGGTTTTGGGGTGAGAAGAGAGGTTTTGGGGTGAGAAAAGAGGTTTTGGGGTGAGAAAAGAGGTTTTGGGGGGAGAAAAGAGGTTTTGGGGGGAGAAAAGAGGTTTTTGGGGGAGAAAAGAGGTTTTTGGGGGAGAAAAGAGGTTTGGGGGGCAGAAGAGAGGTTTTGGGGTAAGAAGAGAGGTTTTGGGATGCTGCAACCCTCCAGGCTCCATCCGGAGCTGGGTTTTGTGGTGAGAAGACAGGTTTTGGGGTGAGAAGAGAGGTTTTGGGGATGCTGCATCCCCGCCTGGACTCCATCCAGAGCTGTGTTTTGGGGTAAGAAGAGAGCTTTTGGGGTACCACAAACCTGAGCTGGATTTTGTGGTGAGAAGAGAGGTTTTGGGGTACCACAAACCTGAGCTGGGTTTTGGGGTAAGAAGAGAGGTTTTGGGGTACCACAAATCTGAGCTGAGTTTTGGGGTAAGAAGAGAGGTTTTGGGGTACCACAAACCTGAGCTGGGTTTTGGGGTGAGAAGAGAGGTTTTGGGGTACCACAAACCTGAGCTGGGTTTTGGGGGTACGAGGCAGGGTTTTGGGGTCCCCCTGACCCTGTGCCCATAGGGGGGAGCCCAAGACGTGGTACGGGGTCCCCTCGTTCGCCGCCGAGCACCTCGAGGAGGTGATGAAGAAGCTGACGCCGGAGCTGTTCGAGAGCCAACCGGACCTCTTGCACCAGCTCGTCACCCTCATGAACCCCAACACCCTCATGGCCCATGGGGTGCCGGTGAGTGGGGGGGGGACACCCCCAAAGCTCCCTGCCCCCAGTGCTTGGGGGTGCTGCGGGTACCTTTTTGGGGTGCTGCGGGTCTTAGGGGTGTTGTTAAGGGGGGGACTGTGGGGATGGGTTTGGGGTGCTGAGGGCACCTTGGGGGGGTTTGGGGGTGCTGGGGGTCTCAATGTGCCCATAGGGATGGATTTGGGGTGCTGTGGGTCTCCATGTAACCATAGGGAGGCCATGGGGATGGATTTGGGGATGCTCTGTGCATCCCTTGGGGGGACATAGGGATGGTTTGGGGGTGCTGTGGGTCTCAGTGTGCCCCCAGGGAGGACATGACGATGGATTTGGGGTGCTGTGGGTCTCAATGTACCCATAGGCAGGACACAGGGATGGTTTGGGGATGCTCTGTGTATCCCTTGGGGGGTCATGGGGATGGTTTTGGGGTGCTGAGGGCACCTTGGGGGGGTTTGGGGGTGCTGTGGGTCTGAATGTGCTCATAGGGATGGATTTGAGGTGCTGTGGATCTCCATGTAACCATAGGGATGGGTTTGGGGTGCTGTGGGTCTCAATGTACCCATAGGCAGGACCTGGGGATACTTTGGGGATGCTCTGCATCCCTTGTGCCCCATAGGGATGGTTTTGTGGTGCTGAGGTCACCTTGGGGTGTCTATGGCGATGCTTTGTGGATATTCTGCATCCCTTGGGGCCCATAGGGATAATGTTGGGGTGCTGTGTGTCCTGCCCCCCCCCATTCCCCCCCCAACTTCAGGTGGTCCGCACCAACCAATGCGCCGGCGAGTTCGTCATCACCTTCCCTCGCGCCTACCACAGCGGCTTCAACCAGGGCTACAACTTCGCCGAGGCCGTCAACTTCTGCACCGCCGACTGGGTGAGCCCCTGCACCCCCAAACTATGGGGGGGACCCCTTAAAATCACCCCCAAACCCATTCCACCTCCCCGTTGCTAAGGATGCAACGGGAGCGCAGCATCGCGATGGGATGCGGGTGATGCTGCGTCGCCACGGCGCGTTTCTGGGTACCAAAAGGGGGTTTTTGGGGGGTTTTTGGGGGGTCCTTGATGCTTTGCCCCCCCTCAGCTCCCTGCTGGCAGGCAATGCATCGAGCACGCCAACTGGGTGAGCCCCTGCACCCCCAAACTATGGGGGGACCCCTTAAAAACCCCCCCAACCCATTCCGCCTCCCCGTTGCTACGGATACAATGGGAGCGCAGCATCGCGATGGGATGCGGGTGATGCTGCATTGCCGCGGCACGTTTCTGGGTACCAAAAGGGGTGTTTTGGGGGGTTTTTGGGGGGTCCTTGATGCTTTGCCCCCCTCAGCTCCCTGCTGGCAGGCAATGCATCGAGCACACCGACTGGGTGAGCCCCTGCACCCCCAAACTATGGGGGGGACCCCTTAAAAACACCCCCAAACCCATTCAGCCTCCCTGTTGCTAAGGAGTCAATGGGAGCGCAGCATCGCGATGGGATGCGGGTGATGCTGCGTTGCCGCAGCGCGTTTCTGGGTACCAAAATGGGGTTTTTGGGGTTTTTTGGGGGGTCCTTGCTGTTTTGCCCCCCCCTCAGCTCCCTGCTGGCAGGCAATGCATCGAGCACACCGACTGGGTGAGCCCCTGCACCCCCAAACTATGGGGGGACCCCTTAAAAACCCCCCCAAACCCATTCCACCTCCCCGTTGCTAAGGATGCAACGGGAGTGCAGCATCGCGATGGGATGCGGGTGATGCTGCGTCGCCGCGGCGCGTTTCTGGATACCAAAATGGGTTCCTTTTGGGGTTTTTTGGGGGATTCTTGATGTTTTACCCCCCTCCAGCTCCCTGCTGGCAGGCAATGCATCGAGCACACCAACTGGGTGACCCCCTGCACCCCCAAACTATGGGGGGACCCCTTATAAACACCCGCAAACCCATTCAGCCTCCCCGTTGCTAAGGATTCAATGGGAGCACAGCATCGCGATGGGATGCGGGTGATGCTGCGTTGCCGCGGCGCGTTTCTGGGTACCAAAAGGGGGTTTTTGGGGGCTTCTTGATGCTTTGCCCCCCTCAGCTCCCTGCTGGCAGGCAATGCATCGAGCACGCTGACTGGGTGAGCCCCTGCACCCCCAAACTATGGGGGGACCCCTTAAAAACACCCCCAAACCCATTCCACCTCCCCGTTGCTAAGGATGCAACGGGAGCGCAGCATCGCGATGGGATGCGGGTGATGCTGCGTTGCCGCGGCGCGTTTCTGGGTACCAAAATGGGTCCCTTGTGGGGTTTTTGGGGGGTCCTTGATGCTTTGCCCCCCTCCAGCTCCCTGCTGGCAGGCAATGCATCGAGCACACCGACTGGGTGAGCCCCTGCACCCCCAAACTATGGGGGGGACCCCTTAAAAACACACCCAAACCCATTCCACCTCCCCGTTGCTAAGGATGCAATGGGAGCGCAGCATCGCGATGGGATGCGGGTGATGCTGCGTCGCCGCGGCGCGTTTCTGGGTACCAAAATGGGGTTTTTTGGGGGGGTCCTTGATGCTTTGCCCCCCTCCAGCTCCCTGCTGGCAGGCAATGCATTGAGCACACTGACTGGGTGACCCCCTGCACCCCCAAACTATGGGGGGACCCCTTAAAAACACCCCCAAACCCATTGCACCTCCCTGTTGCTAAGATTGCAATGGGAGCGCAGCATCGCGATGGGATGCGGGTGATGCTGCATTGCCGTGGCGCGTTTCTGGGTACCAAAAGGGGGTTTTTTGGGGGGTCCTTGATGTTTTACCCCCCCTCAGCTCCCTGCTGGCAGGCAATGCATCGAGCACGCCAACTGGGTGACCCCCTGCACCCCCAAAGTATGGGGGGGCCCCCTTAAAAACCCCCCCAAACCCATTCCACCTCCCCGTTGCTAAGGATGCAACGGGAGCGCAGCATCGCGATGGGATGCGGGTGATGCTGCGTCGCCGCGGCGCGTTTCTGGGTACCAAAATGGGTCCGTTTTGGGGTTTTTGGGGGGTCCTTGATGCTTTGCCCCCCTCAGCTCCCTGCTGGCAGGCAATGCATCGAGCACGCCGACTGGGTGACCCCCTGCACCCCCAAACTATGGGGGGGACCCCTTAAAAACACCCCCAAACCCATTGCACCTCCCCGTTGCTAAGGATGCAACAGGAGCGCAGCATCGCGATGGGATGCGGGTGATGCTGCGTCTCCGTGGCACGTTTCTGGGTACCAAAATGGGTCCGTTTTGGGGTTTTTTGGGGGGTCCTTGATGCTTTGCCCCCCTCAGCTCCCTGCTGGCAGGCAATGCATCGAGCACACCGACTGGGTGAGCTCCTGCACCCCCAAACTATGTGGGGGACCCCTTAAAAACCCCCCCAAACCCATTGCACCTCCCCGTTGCTAAGGATGCAACGGGAGCGCAGCATCGCGATGGGATGCGGGTGATGCTGCGTCGCCGCGGCGCGTTTCTGGGTACCAAAATGGGTTTTTTGGGGGGTCCTTGATGCTTTGCCCCCCTCAGCTCCCTGCTGGCAGGCAATGCATCGAGCACTACCGCCGCCTGCGCCGTTACTGCGTCTTCTCCCATGAGGAGCTCATCTGTAAGATGGCTGCGTGCCCCGAAAAGCTGGACCTCAACCTCGCCGCTGCCGTGCACAAGGAGATGTTCGTCCTGGTGCAGGAGGAGAGGAAGCTGCGGAAAGCACTGCTGGAAAAGGTGGGTCTTTAACACCCCCCCCCTTTTACCAAACCCCATTGGTTTTGGGGGGTTCTATAGGGTTAAAGGACCCCTTTTCTCTAGGGTATCACGGAGGCGGAGAGGGAAGCGTTCGAGCTGCTGCCTGATGATGAGAGGCAGTGTGATAAGTGCAAGACAACGTGTTTCCTCTCGGCCCTGGCCTGCTATGACTGCCCCCAGTGTCTGGTCTGCCTCTACCACATGGATGATCTCTGCAAGTGCCCCCGTAGCAAGCAGTACCTCAGGTATCATTGTGGGGGGGCTGTGGTACTGTTTTGGGGTGCTGGGGAGGATGGGTGAGGTGATGTAAGGGGGTATTAAGGGGGTTGATGGGTGAGATTGGGGTGGTTTTGGGGTGGGGGGGGTCCTGGTGTGGTCATGGGGGTGGTTTAGGGGTGGTTTAGGTGTTAGTGTGCTCATAGTGGGGGCTGTGGGGGTGGTTTGGGGGTGCTGTGGGTCTCAGTGCCCCCATAGTGGGGGCCATGGGGATGGTTTGGGCGTGCTGGGGGTCTCAATGTGCCCATAGTGGGGGCCATGGGGATGGCTTGGGGGTGCTGTGGGTCTCAGTGCCCCCATAGTGGGGGCCATGGGGATGGTTTGGGGGTGCTGTGGGTCTCAATGCCCCCATAGTGGGGGCCATGGGGATGGCTTGGGGGTGCTGGGGGTCTCAGTGTGCCCATGGGGATGGTTTGGGGGTGCTGGCGGTCTCAGTGTGCCCATAGGGGCAGCCATGGGGATGGCTTGGGGGTGCTCTGGGCCTCATTGAGCCCATAGGGGCAGCCATGGTGATGGTTTGGAGGTGCTGTGGGTCTCAATGCCTTCATAGTGGGGGCCATGGGGATGGTTTGGGGGTGCTGGGGGTCTCAGTGTGCCCATGAGGATGGTTTGGGGGTGCTGTGGGTCTCAGTGCCCCCATAGGGGCAGCCATGGGGATGGTTTGGGGGTGCTGTGGGTCTCAGTGCCCCCATAGTGGGGGCCATGGGGATGGTTTTGGGGTGCTGTGGGTCTCAGTGTGCCCATGGGGATGGTTTGGGGATGCTGGGGCTCTCAGTGCCCCCATAGTGGGGGCCATGGGGATGGTTTAGGGGTGCTGGGAGTCTCAGTGTGCCCATGGGGATGGTTTGGGGATGCTGGGGCTCTCAGTGCCCCCATAGTGGGGGCCATGGGGATGCTCTGGATGTGCCGTGGCTCTCAATGGACACAACCAAGCGCTCCCGGCACCCCGGAACCCCCTTCCTGACCCTGCCCCCTTTCTGACCCCGCCCCCTTCCTGACCCCGCCCCCTTTCTGACCCCGCCCCCTTTTCCCCCCCAGGTACCGGTACACGCTGGACGAGCTCCCGGCCATGCTGCACAAGCTCAAGGTCCGGGCCGAGTCCTTCGACACCTGGGCCAACAAAGTGCGAATGGCGCTGGAGGTGGAGGACGGGCGCAAGAGGAGTGAGCTGGGGGGGGCAGGGGGGGGGGGGGGGGCAGCAAAGGGGGATGGGGGGCAGGAAGGAGCTGGGGGGGCAGAGAGAGGTGTGGGGGGGGCAGAGAGGGGTTGGGAGGCAGGAAGAAGTTGGGGGGCAGGACGTTGGGGATCAGAAAATGGGGGTTGGGGGCAGGGGAAGGGATTGCGGGGCAGGAAGGGGTTGGGGGGAGGGTGGGGGGTGGTCAGCAAAGGGAGTTGGGGGGCAGGAAGAAGTTGGGGGGCAGGAAGGGGCTGGGGGGACAGGAAGAAGTTGGGGGGCAGAGAGAGAGGTTGGGGGGTCAGCAAAGGGGGTTGGAGGGCAGGAAGGGGCTGGGGGGCAGAGAGGGGCTGGGGGGGCAGAGAGGGGATGGGGGAGCAGGAAGGGGCTGGGGGAGACAGAGCGGGGTTGGGGGGCAGGAAGGGGTTTGGGGCTCTCGGGGTGGGTTCAGGGTGGGTTTGGGGCTCTCAGGATGAGCTCAGGGATGGGTTTGGGGCTCTTGGGGATGGGTTCAGGGATGGGTTTGGGTCTGTGGGGGTGGCTTTGGGGTGGGTTTGGGGCTCTTTGGATGGGTTCAGGGTGGGTTTGGGTCTCTTGGGGTGCCCCAGCCCCCCCTGACCCCCTCTCCCCATTGCCCAGCGCTGGAGGAGCTGCGGGCGCTGGAGTCGGAGGCGCGGGAGCGGAAGTTCCCTGAGAACGAGCTCCTGCACCGGCTCAAGGGGTGCCTGGGCCAGGCCGAGCGCTGCGTGGCCGAGGCGCTGGGGCTCATCAGCTCCCAGGAGACCGGGTGAGTGCCCCTCGGGGGCTATGGTGGCCCTATGGTGGTCCTATGGTAGCCCCATAGTGGTCCTATGGTAGCCCTATGGTAGCCCCATGGTGGTCCTATGGTAGCCCCATGGTGGTCCTATGGTTGCCCCATGGTGGTCCTATGGTGGCTCCATGGTGTCCTCATGGTGGGCCAATGGTGGCCCAATGGTGGCCCCGTGGTGGTCCTACAGTAGTCCTGTGGTGTTCTTGTGGTGTCTTTATGCTGGCCCAATGGTAGCCTCATGGTAGTCCTATGGTAGCCCCATGGTGGTCCTGTGGTGGCTCCATGGTGTCCTCATGGTGGCCCAATGGTGGTCCTATGGTGGCTCCATGGTGTCCTCATGGTACCCCAATGGTGGTCCTATGGTGGCTTTATGATGTCCTCATGGTGGCTCCATGGTGTTCTCATGGTGGCCCAATGGTGGCTCTATGGTGGCCCAATGGTGTCCTCATGGTGGTCCTATGATGTCCTCATGGTGGCCCCAGGGTGTTCCTATGGTAGTCCTATGGTGTCCCTGTGGTGTCCTTATGGTGGCCCAGTGGTGACCAATTGGTGGCCCCATGGTGGTCCTGTGGTAGCCCCATGGTGGTCCTGTGGTAGCCCCATGGTGGTCCTATGGTAGCCCCATGGTGGTCCTGTGGTAGCCCTATGGTGGTCCTATGGGTGCTCCATGGTGTCCTCATGGTAGTCCCATGGTGGTCCTATGGGTGCTCCATGGTGTCCTCATGGTAGCCCCATGGTGTTCCTGTGGTAGTCCTATGGTGGTCCTATGGTGGCTCCATGGTATCCTCATGGTGACTCAGTGGTGGCCCTGTGGTGTCCTTATGGTGGCCCAATGGTGGTCCTATGGTGGCTCCATGGTGTCCTTATGGTGGCCCAGTGGTGGCCCCAGGGTGGTCCTATGGTGTCCCTGTGGTGTCCTTATGGTAGCCCCATGGTGGTCCTATGGTAGCCACATGGTGGTCCTGTGGTAGCCCCGTGGTGATCCTGTGATGGTCCTATGGTGGCTCCATGGTATCCTCATGGTGGCCCAATGGTGGCCCGAGGGTGGTCCTACAGTAGTCCTATGGTGTCCCTGTGGTGTCCTTATGGTGGCCCCAGGGTGGTCCTGTGGTAGCCCCATGGTGGTCCTATGGTGTCTATGGTCTCCATGTCCCCATCCTGTCCCTATGGGGCTCACCCCCCCCATGTCCCCATCCTGTCCCTATGGGGCTCACCCCCCCATGTCCCCCCCATGGCTGATGCGTGCCCCCCCTCGCAGGGTCCCTGCTCCCTCGCTCACCGTGGAGGAGCTGCGCACGTTCCTGGAGCAGATGAACCACCTGCCCTGCGTCATGCACCAGATCGGGGAGGTCCAGGTGAGCCGGGGGGGGCCCTTCCGGGTCCCCCCCATTGCAGGAGCACGGATTGGGGGGTGCCAAGGACCTGAGCATCGTCCGCTTCCAGGGGCAGGGCCACTGAGCCCTGAGCACTGCCCCCAAACCGCCGCCGTTCAGCCCATCCCAGGGCCCTTTTCCCCTCATCCCAGTGTCCTTCTGCATCCATCCCAGTATCCTCCATTTGATCCCAGTGCCCTTTTCCCCTCATCCCAATGGCCTTCTGCATCCATCCCAGTATCCTTCTCCATTTGATCCCAGTGTCCTTCTCCATGTGATCCCAGTGTCCTTTTCCCTTCTTCCCAATGGCCTTCTGCACTCCATCCCAGTGTCCTTCTCCATGTGATCCCAGTGTCCTTTTCCCTTCTTCCCAATGGTCTTCTGCACTCCATCCCAGTATCCTTCTCCATTTGATCCCAGTGTCCTTTTCCCCTCATCCCAGTGTCCTTTTCCTCTCTTCCCAATGGCCTTCTGCACTCCATCCCAGTGTCCTTCTCCATTTGATCCCAGTGTCCATTCCTCTCATCCCAATGGCCTTCTGCACTCCATCCCAGTATCCTTCTCCATTTGATCCCAGTGTCCCTCCATCCATCCCAGTGCCCTCCATCCATCCCCCTCCCCTTTCCCCTCCATTCCTCCCAGTACCCTCCATCCATCCCCACATCCTCCATCCCTCCCAGTACCCTCTATCCATCCCAGTGCCCTCTATCCATCCCAGTACCCTCCATCCCTTCTGGTACCGTCCATCCATCCCAGTACCCTCCATCCATCCCCACATCCTCCATCCCTCCTGGTACCCTCCATCTCTCGTGGTACCCTCCACCCATCCCAGTCCCCTCCATCCATCCCAATACCCTCCATCCCTCCCAATATCCTCCATCCCTCCTGGTACCCTCCATCCATCCCCACATTCTCCATCCATCCCCATATCCTCCATCCCTCTTGGTACCCTCCATCCATCCCCACATCCTCCATCCCTCCCGATATCCTCCATCCATCCCAGTACCGTCCATCCATCCCCTCATCCTCCATCCATCCCGATACCCTCCATCCCTCCCTTCTCCATCCCTCCCCACATCCTCCATCCCTCCCTTCCCCCCCTGCATCCCTCCCTTCCCCCCCCATCCATCCATCCATCCCATCCCCTCCCACACCCCCTGCCCCCCTCACCCCTTCCCTTCTCCCCCTCCCCACCCTCCTCCTACCCAACCCTCCCCCTCCATCCCCCCCATCCCCCCCATCCCCCCCATCCCCCCACACCCCCTCCCCCCCCTCACCCCTTCCCTTCTCCCCCCCCCAGGCCCTCCTGGACCGTGTGGAGCAGTTCCAAGCCGAGGCCCGCTCCGCCCTGGACCATTCCCCCCCTCCATCCCTCCCATCCCCCCCCATCCATCCTCCATCCCCTCCCCCATCCATCCCCCACCTCCCCCCCTCACCCTCCCTTCCCCCCCCCCCTCCTCCATCCACCCCCCTCCCCCATTCCCCCCCCCATCCCCCCCATCCCCCCCACACCCCATCCCCCCCTCACCCCTTCCCTTCTCCCCCAGGCCCTCCTGGACCATGCCCCCTCCATCCCATCCCCCCCCATCCCCCCCATCCCCCCACACCCCCCCCCCTCACCCCTTCCTTCTCCCCCCCACCTTGGACTTGGAGCAGTTCCAAGCCGAGGCCCGCTCCGCCCTGGACCATTCCCCCCCTGCATCCCCGGGGGCCCTGCGGGCGCTCCTGGAGCGCGGTGCCCGCCTCGGCGTCGAGGTCCCCGAGGGCCGGCGGCTCCAGCGGCAACTGGCCCAGGGCGCTTGGCTCGAGGAGGTGACGGCCACGCTGCGGGGACCCCGCGCCCGGGTCCCCCTCCCCGTTATGAGGGGCCTCATCCAGGCCGGCCGCACCGTGGCTCCCAGCCCCGCTGTGGATGTGGCCATGGCCGAGCTGCAGGAGCTGCTCACCATAGCCCAGCGCTGGGAGGAGAAGGCTCAGATGTGCCTGGAGGCCAGGTCAGGAAATAGGGGGGGGGGGGACGACACAAAGGGGTGACCCCCATCTGTTTGTATGGGGGGGGAAAGGGGGTGCCCCCCATGTGTTTTGATAGGGGTCATAAGGGGGTGCCCACCTGTGTTTCTATGGGGGGGAAAGGGGGTGTCCCCGATCTGTTTGTATGGGGGGGAAAGGGGGTGCCCCCTATCTGTTTGTATGGAGGGGGAAAGGGGGTGCCCCCCATCTGTTTATATGGGGGGGAAAGGGGGTGTCCCCCCTGTGTGTTTAATGGAGGGGGAAAGAGGGGTGGACCCCATGTGTTTCTATGGGGGGGAAAGGGGGTGTCCCCCCTGTGTGTTTGTATGGGGGGGAAAGGGGGGTGGACCCTATGTGTGTTTATATGGGGGGGAAAGGGGGTGCCCCCCTGTGTGTTTAATGGGGGAGGGAAAGGGGTGCCCCCGATCTGTTTGTATGGGGGGAAAGGGGGTGCCCCCCCTGTGTGTTTATATGGGGGGGAAAGGGGGTGTCCTCCCTGTGTGTTTAATGGGGGGGGAAGGGGGTGTCCTCCCTGTGTGTTTGCATGGGGGGGAAAGGGGGTGCCCCCCCTGTGTGTTTAATGGGGAAAGGGGATGCCCCTATCTGTTTCTATGGGGGGGAAAGGGGATGCCCCCCATCTGTTTCTATGCGAGGAAAAAGGGGGTTAGACCCCATGTATTTTGATGGGGGGGAACGGGGACAAGGCAATTGTCCCCCATATGTTTCTATGGGGGGGGGGGGAAGGGGGCCACTTCCTCTGTCCCCATGGAGTGCTAAAGGGGCTGGGGGCTGCCCCCCATATGTGGAGGGGGAATAAAGGGGTTCAGGGCCAGGCACTTGTGGGGGGGGGGGTGTTGAGCAGCCAGACCCATGTGTGCCCCCCCCCCCCCCCCCCCACAGGCAGAAGCACCCCCCGGCCACATTGGCCGCCATCATCAAGGAGGCTGAGAACATCCCAGCGCTGCTGCCCAACATCCAGGCCCTGAAGGAGGCCCTGGCCAAGGCCCGTGCCTGGATCGCGGACGTGGAGGAGATCCAGGTGGGACTGGGGACCCCCATGGGGCTGGGGGCTGCCCCATAAGTGTCTATGGGGAAGGGGGGGTAAAGGGGGCTGCTTCCCCATAGATGGAGGGGGGGGTAAAGGGGTTGTTCCTGTGTTCATAGATGGGATAAAGGGGGCTGCCCCCTAAGTGTCTATGGGGAGAGGGGGGGGGTAAAGGGGGCTGCTTCCCCATAGATGGAGGGGGGGGTAAAGGGGTTGTTCCTGTGTTCATAGATGGGATAGAGGGGGCTGACCCCTAAGTGTCTATGGGGGGGGGGGGTAAAGGGGGCTGCTTCCCCATAGATGGAGGGGGGGGTAAAGGGGTTGTCCCTGTGTTCATAGATGGGATAGAGGGGGCTGACCCCCATATATCTATAGGGGGATAAGGGATTGCCCCCCATATATCTATGGGGGGATAAGGGATTGCCCCCCATATATCTATGGGGGGGATAAGGGATTGCCCCCCATATATCTATGGGGGGGATAAGGGATTGCCCCCCATATATCTATGGGGGGATAAGGGATTGCCCCCCATATATCTATGGGGGGATAAGGGATTGCCCCCCATGTATTTATGGGGGGTTAAGGGAGCTGCCCCTGTATTGATGGGGGAATAAGGGGGTTGCCCCCCATATATATAGGTGGAGGAAAAGGGGTGTGGGGGCTGTGCCCCCTATATCCAGGTGGGGATAAGGGGGCTGCCCCCTGTATATGTCATGGAGGGCTTAAAGGGGCTGTCCCCATAGGTTTAGGCAGGGTATTGGGGCTGCCCCATATATGTCTATGGGGGGGTGGGGGAATAAAGGGGGTTGTCCCCCTTATATCTAGGTGGGGACAAGGGCGCTGCCCCTGTGTTTATAGGGGATAAGGGGCCTGCCCTATGTCTGGGGTAGGGAGGATAAGGGAACTGCCCTTATAGGGGAGATAAGGGGGCTACCCCCCATATATCTATAGGGGGGGATAAGGGGGCTGTAAGTGGGGACAAGTGCACTGCCCCTGTGTTTATAGGGAATAAGGGGCCTGCCCCATGTCTGGGATAGGGAGAAGCCTTCCAGACACCCCCCCCCAACCCCATGGAGTGGATGGGGGGGACTCTCTCTGCCCCCATTATCCCTATGTATGTGTATGTATGTCTATGTGTATGTGTGTGTGCCCCCCCCCCCATCACCCCATAGAACGGGGACCATTACCCCTGCCTGGATGACCTGGAGGGGCTGGTGGCCGTGGGCCGGGACTTGCCCGTGCGCCTGGAGGAGCTGCGGCAGCTCGAGGTGCAGGTGGGCTCCGCACATTCCTGGCGGGATAAAGCCTCCCGGACCTTCCTCAAGAGGAATTCCTGCTACACCCTCCTGGAGGTGGGTGCTGGGGGGGGGGGAGGGGTCAAACACAGCAGTCCCAATGGGTGGGAAAAGGGGGGACCTCGTCTGACCCCCCCCTGAGTACATCACATAGAGAGGGGTTGAGCATCTCCAATGGAGACTCCACATCCCCACCATGGGCAATGCGTTCCAGTGCTCTGCTGCTGTCATAGGAGCTAAGTTCTTCCTGATGCTCACATAGAACCTCCTCTGCTCCAGTTTGCACCCATTGCCCCTTGGCCTATACTGGGCATCATTGATAAAACCCTATCTCCATCATCCTGACACCCTTTACATAGTGGGAACCATCAATGGGGTCACCCCACTCTCACAGGAGCTAAGTTCTTCCTGATGTTCACATAGAACCTCCTCTGCTCCAGTTTGCACCCATTGCCCCTTGTCCTATACTGGACATCACTGATAAAACCCCATCTCCATCATCCTGACACCCTTTACATAGTGGGAACCATCAATGGGGTCACCCCACTCTCACAGGAGCTAAGTTCTTCCTGATGTTCCCATAGAACCTCCTCTGCTCCAGTTTGCACCCATTGCCCCTTGTCCTATACTGGACATCACTGATAAAACCCCATCTCCATCATCCTGACACCCTTTACATAGTGGGAACCATCAATGGGGTCACCCCACTCTCACAGGAGCTAAGTTCTTCCTGATGTTCCCATAGAACCTCCTCTGCTCCAGTTTGCACCCATTGCCCCTTGGCCTATACTGGACATCACTGATAAAACCCCATCTCCATCATCCTGACACCCTTTACATAGTGGGAACCATCGATGGGGTCACCCCACTCTCACAGGAGCTAAGTTCTTCCTGATGTTCCCATAGAACCTCCTCTGCTCCAGTTTGCACCCATTGCCCCTTGTCCTATACTGGGCATCACTGGTAAAACCCTGTCTGCATCATCCTGACACCCTTTACATAGTGGGAACCATCGATGGGGTCACCCCACTCTCACAGGAGCTAAGTTCTTCCTGATGTTCCCATAGAACCTCCTCTGCTCCAGTTTGCACCCATTGCCCCTTGGCCTATACTGGGCATCACTGGTAAAACCCTGTCTGCATCATCCTGACACCCTTTACATAGTGGGAACCATTGATGGGGTCACCCCACTCTCACAGGAGCTAAGTTCTTCCTGATGCTCCCATAGAACCTCCTCTGCTCCAGTTTGCACCCATTGCCCCTTGGCCTATACTGGGCATCACTGGTAAAACCCTGTCTGCATCATCCTGACACCCTTTACATAGTGGGAACCATTGATGGGGTCACCCCACTCTCACAAGGGCTAAGTTCTTCCTGATGTTCACATAGAACCTCCCCTGCTCCAGTTCGCACCCATTGCCCCTTGTCCTATACTGGGCATCACTGATAAAACCCCATCTCCATCATCCCAACACCCTTTAGTGGGGACCATCGATGGGGTCACCCCACTCTCACAGGAGCTAAGTTCTTCCTGATGTTCCCATAGAACCTCTTCTGCTCCAGTTTGCACCCATTGCCCCTTGTCCTATACTGGGCATCACTGATAAAACCCCATCTCCATCATCCTGACCCCCTTTACATAGTGGGAACCATCGATGGGGTCACCCCATAGTCTTCTCCAAGCTAAAGAGCCCCAGCTCCTTCAGCCTCCCATCACAAGGGAGATGCTCCAGTCCCTTCATCAGCTTGGGGGCTCTGTGCTGGACTCTTTCAAGCCATTCCCTGTCCCCAAACTGGATGCAGTATTCCAGATGTGGCCCCACCAAGGCAGAATGGGTTAGGGTTAGGGTTAGGGTTCGGGTTAGGGTTAGGGTTAGGGTTAGGGTTAGGGTTAGGGTTAGGGTTAGGGTTAGGGTTAGGGTTCGGGTTAGGGTTAGGGTTAGGGTTCAGGTTCTAGGGTTAGGGTTCTAATCCACCCTAGGATGCTATTGGCCTTGTTGGCCATAAAGGCACATTGCTGGCTCATGGTCACCCTCTTATCCATGCAGATCCCATTCCCATTCACTCCTTTCCAGCAGGTCAAACCCCCCCAACTCCAACCTATCCATGTCTCACCCAGTCCTCCCAGTTCTGGTACTGGTGATACGAAACAGCACTGGTCCCAGTACTGAATGCTGAGGACTCCACTGCTCCCATCCCTCCACCTGCATCCAGCCCCATTGACCCCACCTCTCTGCCTTCATCCCTTCACCCCCGTCACCACCTCACCCCCAACCCCACACCTCCAACAGCCCCCTATGCCCCCCCCATACACACACAGAGCCCCCATATGAGCATCCCCCCATAGGTGCTGTGCCCCTGCGCCGACGCCGGCTCCGACAGCAGCAAGAGGCTCAAGTGGAGGCAGGAGCCAGGGCTCTACAAGCTCGATGCTGAGAGCTTGGGGCTCTCGGCCCAGGACCTGCGGGATCCCGGGGCTGTGGTGAGCGCCGCATTCCCAAAGTGGGGAGTTATGGGGTGGGGGGGGGGGGGGGTAGCATCAGCCGGGCGCCTGCTACAGGGATGCGGTCCAAGGCGTCTCCATCCAGCCCATCCCAGTGGCCTCTGGTCGATCCCAGTGCCCTTTCCCACTCGATTCCAGGGTCCTTTTATTTCCCTTGATCCCAGTGGCCTTTTCCCCTTGATCCCAGTGGCCTTTTCCCCTTCATCCCAGTGTCCTTTCCCTTTGATCCCACTGTTTCCACTCCATTCCATCATCGTTTTCCCCTCCAATCCCATTGTCCTGCTCTCACTCCTTTCGATCCCTCTCCACTCAATCTGTGCCCTCCACTCCATCCCAGTTCCCTTTTCCCCTCATCCCAGTGCCCTTTCCCATTCAGTTCCAATGTCCTTTACCCCTTGATCCCAGTGTCCTTTCCATTCAATCCCATTGTTTCCACTCCATTCCAACATCCTTTTCCCCTCAATCCCATTGTCCTTTGCTCAGTTCTTTCCCTTTAGATCCCTCTCCACTCAGTCTGTGCCCTCCACTCCCAGTCCCTTTTCCCCTCATCCCAGTGCCCTTTCCCATTCAGTTCCAATATCCTTTTCCCCTTGATCCCAGTGGCCTTTCCGTTTGATCCCAGTGTCCTTTTCCCCTTGATCTGTGTCCTTTCCCTTTGATCCCACTGTTTCCACCCCACTCCATCATCCTTTCCCCCTCCACCCCATTGTCCTTTGCCCTCACCCCTTCCCCTCCCTCTCCCCTCCCCTTTCCCCCATCCCCATCCCCTCTTTAACCCCCCCCTCTCCCTCCTCAGATCCTGGCCTTCAAGGAGGGCGAGCAGAAGGAGAAGGAGGGGATGCTCCGCCTGCGCCTCGCCAACTCCCAGAAGGCCACGCCCCCTTCCCCAGGCCCTGGCGCCCCCTCCTGCGTCTGCGGGCAGCCCCCGGGCCCGGCCATGCTCCAGTGCCAGCTCTGCCGGGACTGGTTCCACGGCTCCTGCGTGCCTTGGCCTCGCCTGGGCTCCCAGCAGCCGTCTCCTGCCTGGTGGGAATGGGAAGCCAAGTTCCTGTGCCCGCTGTGCCAGCGCTCGCGCCGCCCGCGCCTCGAGACCATCCTGGCCCTGCTGGTGGCCCTGCAGAAGCTGCCCGTGCGCCTGCCCGAGGGAGAGGCCCTGCAGTGCCTCACCGAGAGAGCCATCACTTGGCAGGACCGGGCCCGTCAGCTCCTGGCATCACCGGAGGTGGCCGGGCCCTTGGAGCGCTTGGAGGGGCTGCGGCAGCGGCTCCGTGGGGATGGAGCTGGAGGAGGCGATGGGGCCTTGAGGGAGGCGAGGAATGAGCAGAATAAGGTGGGGGGGAAGGGGATGGGGGGGGGATTGGGGGGGATGGGGGTGGGGCAGAACAATGGGGATAGGAGTGGGGCAGGTGGGGAAGGGAAATGGGGTGGGGGTTTGAGGGGGGGAGGGAAGGGAAATGGGGGGGATTTGGGGGAGAATGGGTGTGGGGCAGAGCAGTGGGGGTGGGGATTGGAGTGGGGCAGGTGGGGAAGGGAATGGGGTGGGGATTGGGGGGGATGGGGTAGAGGGATGGGGGTGGGGGGTGGGGATAGGAGTGGAGCAGGTGGGAAGGGAAATGGGGTGGGGATGGGGCAGGGGCATGAGTGTGGGTCAGGTGGGTAGGTCAGGGATGGGGGTGGGGTGGGTGGGAATGGGGGAGGGGCAGGGCCGTGGGGTGGGGATTGGGTGTGGGGCAGGGTGATAGGGTGGGGTGGGGATTGGTTTTGGAGTGGGGATGGATGTGGGGCAGGGCCATGGGGTGGGGATTGGGTGTAGGGCCATGCGTGTGGAGCAGGGGCATGGGATGGGCTGGGGCAGAGGGATGGGGATTGGTTTTGCAGTGGGGATGGATGTGGGGCAGGGCCATGGGGTGGGGATTGGGGCTGGGGGAAGCTGGGTGCCCCCTACCCTAAATCCATGTCCCCCCCCCCCCCCCAAGGTGTCAGTGGAGAACGGCGATGGGCTCAGCCCGGAGAAGAACGGAGCCTGGTCCTCAGGTGAGAGGGGATCCCCGGGGGTGTCCCCAGGGTCCCCATGGTGACGTCGTGTGTCAGTGACATCATGGGGTCCCCCTGGTGACCTCATCACGTCCCGGGGTCCCTGCGGTGCCATGATGTCACGGGGTCCCCATGATGTCATCATGTCCCCATGGTGATATTGTGTCGCTGGTGTCCCTTTGGTACCATGATGTCACTGTGTCTCCCCATGACATCATGGTGTCCCCTTGATGCCATCAGGGTTTCTCCCCATGATGTCACTGTGTCTCTCCATGACATCACTGTGTCCCCTGTGATGTCATGGTGTCCCCCAATGACATCACTGTGTCCCCCCATGCCCTCCCATTCTCCCCATGACGTCACATTGTCCCAACCACACACACCCCCCAAACCCCCCCAACACCCCCCAAACCCACCCATGACCTCACGGTGTCCCCCAATGACATCACTGTGTCTCCCCATGCCATCACATTGTCCCCATGACATCACAGTGTCTCCCTAATGATGTCACAGTGTCCCCCATGACGTCACTGTGTGCCCCTGATGATGTCACGATGTCCCCCATGACAA